ATATATATATATATATATATATATATATATATGTATGTATGTATACATACATACATGTGTGTGTGTGTGTGTGTTTGAGAGACATGTATATAACTGCCCATCACAATAATCATCCTTCCTGTATTACCACCTCACCTTGGTGACCCCAGTTCCAGTAAAGCGAGCTTCAAGCAGTTCCTGTCTTCGCGGGTCCATGCTAATAGCTTGAGTATGACGTCCTTCCATCATCCCTAAAAAGAGGGGCAAAAACAGTGAGGAAAAAAAATATATACTTTAACAGTATTGTATTAGTATTTCACAAAAATCATGTAGGTTCTCAAGGTGTGGTACGAATAGCACTGGTAGTACTCAGGATTCCTCCAGTGGTACTTGAAAGACAGTCTAGTATTAATTAATTACAAGTAAAGAAACATGCTAATTAACCACTGAGCGCCTCCTCTTCACATTTCTCTCTTAGGCACTAATACAACACTAATTTTATTACCTCCATCAGTGGTAGGTGTCTGCTCCTGTCTGTATATATTGAACCTGGTTCTGTGGAACATTTCTTGTTATACGGAGTTTTTCCTCTCCACTGTCGCCCTCTATGCTCAGGAAGGAGACATCTTATAATTTAATGAACCAAACCGTATTGAATGCCTTGATTGAATTTCTGTAAGTAATTTGAATTAAAATTAAGAAGGGAATTGTTTTTCCAAAGTTTCCTTTAGTTTTTTTTTTTTATTTGTTCAAAGCTGGAAAATACTAAAAAGAAATCAAATAACCCTGTCATGATCACAACACCTGCCCAAAAAGAAAATATATAATTAGACAGTTTACCAGTCTCATTAAGTCATAGTGCTAACCCTAGCTAATTTGTTTCGTTTACCTCAGAGGTATTTTAACCTACATTTCAGCTATTTCACAGAAGTTACTTGATGCAACTAACAAGAGGCAGATGAGAAAAGAAAAGCAAAAGATGACCCACTTGTATCTTTAGTTCCAAACAATCTAACAAGCCACCAAAAGTCAATGTCATCGGTAGCTAAAATGATAATGGCTACTGTTTACAAGGTGAGTTACCCAAAACAAGCTAGCGTCAAGTTAAGGTCTCACCTGGAAAACCTTGAGCAGTTTTCACAACAACCACCCTCTCAGTCCGTGAAAAGATGCTGTCCGTTCATCCGGTGACAGCAAACTCCTTCACGGCTCCAAACATCTCAACTCACTTGTTCTGAATTGGGTTATCCATTTGTGTCGTCTCGAATTTAGGGTTGTTAGCTTAGCTAAATGCTAGCTCCACCCAGCAGCGCGGCTGTCTCGTGCCGGTGTCATCTGGACGGAAGGCCGCAATCCCCGGGGTTTCCTGGTCTGAGTCGGTGCCCCTGCGGGGGCAGGCGCGGAGCTGTCACTGCTCGGCGTCCTCCCTGACAAGTGCTGTCACTTTTCTGCCTCGCTCGATCTATATTTGCTCATTATCGAGCTCCTACAGCAGAGGAGGTCGCTGTGTTAAAGTCCATCCTTTATTTACCTGATGACAATAAATAAATAATCATAACATCGCGTCCTGGGGTCGCAAAAAGAGCACGGAGAATTTAAGCTGATATTTCTCAAGCAAGCTCTGGTAATGTCACCTCCCCAGATCCGCCCCGATCCAAAACAACAGCTGAGCCGAGAGAAAATACAAGTTCCCCGAGGCAGTTTTTTATTGCCTTTCAGAAAACATTTTTACGGATGTGTGAGAGAAAGAAATCTATAGTAATAACCACAAATAAAAACCCACTGAGACGTCTTTTCCTGACGTCTAAACGACGTCTTTTCCCGACGTCTAATCGATGTCTAGTTTGGACGTCTAAACAACGTATAGTTAAGACGTCGTGATGACGTCTTTTCCTGACGTCTAAACGACGTATAGATCGGACATGTTAATATAGACGTCTTTTCCACGTCAACTAACTATATTTATTATTTTAAATAGGCTCTTATTATATTTAACTTATTTTAGTCACTTAAAAATGCTGCTTCTATGCTATGCATATGAAAAGTACTGCGACTGAAGCTGGGGAAATAGTTCATTTGACCACCCATTGTGCAGCAGGAAACATGGTCCTAGAAATTAGAGTTTACAAATCACTCCTTAAATTTTTCATTTATCTTCTTCTTCTCATCAATAACAACACCCAAAAATATTATTTCATTAACTCTATGAATTTCACTACTGTCAATTTTAAATGAGACTTTGATAATTTTTTATTACTAAATATCATGTAGGTTTTTTTTATTTTTTATTTTTTCAAATTTTATGATAACTTATTAAGTTGGAATTAAGTTTGTATTTTTTTTTTTTTTACAAATTCTGCCCGTATCATCTCTAACGTTCAATATCTTCACCCGAATAAAAAACTGTGGTATCATCTGCAAATAAAACACACTTCAAAAGTCTCGACACATCAACCAGATCATTCACTTACAAAATAAACAACTTTGGTCCCAGCACAGAGCCCTGAGATACTCCACATCCATTCACACAAAATTCTGATCTTACATTGTTCACCTGTACAAATTGCCTCCAATTATTCAAATACCTGGATACCCACTGTAGTGCCATATTTATTCGGTTTTTCAAGGAGAATGGTGTGGTCAATAGTTTACTGTATACGGCTGTGGCTGAGTGGTTAAAGCAGTCGTCCTCCAATGCAAGAGTTGGGGGTTCGAATCACCAGCAGTCACATGCCGAAGTGTCCATGGTCAAGGCACTGAAGCCCTCATCGCCTCCGATGTGTGTCCCATCGATGTATGAATGTGATAAAGCTCTGATTAGTCTCTTTAGAATGATTTGTTCAATTAGCTTTGTAAAGCTAATAGAATGCTGTAAGAATGGGTAAATGAGGACACAGATTGTAGTGTAATTGTTCAGGTGCATTTTGGTGGATTTTAAGATGCTGTGATTGTTAAATATTTCCACCAGAGGTCACTGTTTTTGTGTTCCTGCACAAGGACCAGCAGTAAAACATGCGGTTGAATTCATGGGCGGATGTAGAAATTTTACAAAGGAGTGGCCAGATTGGACCAATATTTGTCCATATATCTTGGGGTGGCACACCATAACTAAAAAGCCTCCTGGACATCTCCCTTTAGAGTTCTTTTTTGGGAACATCCCTTCAATCTATCCATCCATTATCTTTACACGCTTCTTCCTTTGCGAGTTGTGGGGGCACCGCATCCAGCAGTCACTGTGCAAGAGGCAGGGGACACACTGGACAGGTCTGCAGTCCATCACAGGGACACATGGAGACAAACAAATATTCACACTCACACCTAGGGACAATTTAGTAACCAATCAGCCCAACATGCATGTTTTTGGTTTGTGGGAAGAAACCAGAGTACCTGGAGAAAACCTACGCGTGCACGGAGAGAACATGCAAATTCCTTCCAGAAAGGATCCTGACCGGGATTCGATCCAGCAACCTTCTCACTGAAAGGCAACACTGTGCCATCCTACTGAGAGTAAACCTGGAGCAGACTCTTGTTAAATATCCTCTTTGGCCTGGATACACCCTGGGATCCACCAGGAAGAGCTGGAGAGCGAAACAGTGGAGAGGGAAGTCTGGGTTTTCCTCCTGGGCCTTTTGTCCCCGTGAATCAACCACAGGTAAGTGGTAGAAGATGGACGGACAAACTACTTAGAAAATATGTATTTTTATTTTATGAAAAACAAACAAAAGCTGGGGCTCAAAAAGACAAGTCTGGCCAAGCAGTGTCAGGGGATGAGGGCACCAGTATTCTAGGGATGGGCCATTACTCCCAATGGCCCTCCCTTCGTGGTGCTCCTGGCTGAAGTCAAGGAGAAATAACTGAGTTTCAAGCTTCATAATTTATTAGCCTCATTTCTATGTAACTAAAAACTAAAAGTGTAACTAAAAGTGGCCTCTGCAGACTTCTGGACAAAGTTTTTTGCAATAGACTTGTTCAGTCTATTTATTCAGATATTTTTAATCAAAAATCGTACTGTAGGCCTCCGTCCATTATTGACAGGTTGTGGTAAATAACTTGTGCAAATAGAAGAAAACATTCCATCTCTGGTTTTCTGCGTATTTTTGTTGCAATTCTGGAAAGAAACTTGTGCCATTTACAAGGACAATCAATGATAGACAATCAGAAATATAGATGCTGGTCATAAAATTAGAATATCATGAAAAAGTTGATTTATTTCAATAAGTCCATTCAAAAAGCGAAACTTGTATATTCTATTCATTCATTACACAGACTGATATATTTCAAATGTTTATTTCTTTTTAGTTGATGATTATAACTGACAACTAATGAAAACCCCAAATTTACTAAAATTAGAACATTACTTAAGACCAACAAAAAAGGTTGAATCATGTCATCTGGACTTCGTTTTTTTTTGTTAAAAAGAAACGTTTCGCCCCTCATCCAAGAGGCTTCGTCAGTCTGAGGCCTAGCCATCTGGTATTACCCAGAAGCCACCCTGACTCTTGTGTTTCAAGCCTGCCTCAGATACCCCTGAAGTCTGGCCTTTTCACTAATGGTTTCAAAAACACAAAGTTTGTTTTCTCAGTTATCCAGGTATATAACAACAAAAAAGGTTGAATCTGTCAAAAAAAAAAACGAAGTCCAGATGATATGATTCAACCTTTTTTGTTGTTATATACCTGGATAACTGAGAAAACAAACTTTGTATTACTTAAGACCAATTAAAAAAAAAGATTTTTATAAATGTTGGTCAACTGAAAAGTATGAACATGAAAAGTATGAGCATGTGCAGCACTCAATACTTAGTTGAGGCTCCTTTTGCCTGGATTATTGCAACAATGCGGCGTGGCATGGAGTTGATCAGTCTGTGGCACTGCTCAGGTGTTACGATAGCCCAAATTGCTCTTATAGTGGCCTTCAGCTCTTCTGGCGTACCACATCTTAATCTTCACAATACCCCATCAACTTTCTGTGAGGTTAAGGTCAGGCAAGTTTGCTGGACAATTAAGAACAGGGATGGTCCTTAAACCAGGTACTGGTAGCTTTGGTACCAAGTCCTGTTGGAAGACTAAATCTGCATCTCTGTAAAGTTGGTCAGCAGCAGGAAGCAGGAAGTGCTCTAAAACTTCCTGGTAGATGGCTATGTTGACCTTGGACCTGAGAAAACACAGTGGACCAACACCAACAGATGACATGGCAGCCCAAACTATCACTGACTGTGGAAACTTGACACTGGACCTCAAGCAACATGGATTCTGTGTCTCTCCTCTCTTCCTCCAGACTCTGGGACCTTGATTTCCAAAGGAAATGCAAAATTTTATTTTCATCAGAGAACATAACTTTGGACCACTCTGCAGCAGTCCCAGGTTAGACGCTTCTGATCCTGTCTCTTGTTCAAGAGTGGCTCGACACAAGGAATGCGACAGCTGAAACCCACGTCTTGCATATGGCTGTGCATGGTGGTTCCTGAAGCACTGAGTCCAGCTGCAGTCTACTCTTTATGAATCTCCCCCACTGGAATGAGTTTTGCTTCACAATCCTCTCCAGGGTGCAGTTATCCCTATTGCTTGTACACTTTTTTCCTACCACATATTTTCCTTCCCTTCGCCTCTCTATTAATGTGCTTGGACACAGAGCTCTGTGAACAGCCAGCTTCTTTAGCAATGACCTTTTGTGTCGTGCCCTCCTTGTGCAAGATGTCAATGGTCGTCTTTTGGACAACTGTCAGTCAGCAGTCTTCCCCATGATTGTGTAGCCTGAACTAGACTGAGAGACCATTTATAGACCTTTGCAGGTGTTTTGAGTTAATTAGCCGATTAGAGTGTGGCACCAGGTGTCTTCAATATTGAACCATTTCACAATATTCTAATTTTCTGATATACTGAATTTGAGGTTTTCATTAGTTGTCAGTTATAATCATCAACATTAAAAGAAATAAACATTTGAAATATATCAGTCTGTGTGTAATGAATGAATATGCAAGTTTCACATTTTGAATGGAATTACGGAAATAAATCAACTTTTTCATGATATTCTAATTTTATGACCAGCACCTGTAAAAGTAATTGTTCACGTTTCAAAACATGTTAAATAGAAGCACATTGCATTGGAGAAAAAAATACTACAAGGACATCTAAAAACGTTAAGTCTGGTCTTCTGGACATTCAAAAAACAAAACAAACGAAATAAAAAGTAGAAACGTTTCGTCTTTCATCCGAAAGACTTCTTCAGTCTGAAGTGCTGTATTCAGCTCAGTCTTGTAAATATAATACAGCACCTACGACTGAAGAAGTCTTTCGGATGAAAGTCGAAACGTTTCTACTTTTTTGGTTCTGTTTTTTGAATGTCCAGAGGAACAGACTTAACTTTTTTAGATTTTTCTACCTGGATTATTGAGCATGCATCAGGATGCTACAAAGACAGTTTGCAATTGTTTGAATCAGTTTTGTACAAGATGTAACTTTTTATCTCGCTGCAATTTCAGTAAATTCCACAAACAGGAAATCCCAACGGCATGATCAGGAAATGAAGCTCATTTTTGTCCTTCAGTTCCCCCACTGTTCACTTATATTACCATATATATATATATATATATATATATATATATATATATATATATATATTTTACTATTTACTACAGTTGTATTGTTTTTTTTTCAAGACACCAATATTAAAAAGTGATTAAACCGCAGTACAGCAAGGCATTCAGTATGTTTGGGGTAAGCCAAGTCTTTATTCTGTCTGGAACACAAAATGGCTGCAAATCATTATAAACAATGACCTTAATTTAATCGTTAACCCTTATAAAATGTTGCTTTGGAATCATTTCTACATATGTACACAGGATTATTAATGTTTGGTGACAGTAGAAGTCTGCACATGATTTGCCGCTTTCTCCCAAAGGATGGCAAAAGTCCATAATTTTGTCCTCTACTCTTCATCTTTGTTCAGTAGCATCAGTCTTTTCCTCTGTATGTGATGTTTGTGAAGGTAGATGTGGCTCCTTTGTAAAGTGGATTGTGCCCCTGTTAATAATAATAATTAAAAAAAAAAACATGTCAATGTAAGGTTCACAAACACAAAACATTTTTGAAATAACTGACAAAATAAACAGGGCCACTCTACAATGAAAACTAATCATGTAAGTGTAAAATAAATAATTTATCTTGGTCGTGAACAGCACCAGTTTGTTTCTGAGACATTTCTTTTCATGGGTTTGAACATACATGTATGACTTGTGTTTTTCACTTCTGACATTATGTGAGTTTGGTGATTCATTGAGGTTTGAGACCTACAGGGTTTGGGTGTGTTTTGAAAACCACAAGACCTATTAGCAGCAGAGGCTGGCTAATTTAAACCCAGCCCTTCCGCTAGCTGTCTTTTGTTCTGCAGGGACTAACAGCACGCCATCAAATAATTAAAAAACGTTAAAAACTGGAGGAAAAGACTGCATGTGTGGCCCTTTATGTGGTGTGAAGACATGTCTACCTGTGTGTGTTCAAAAAGTAAACGGAAGGTTTCACAGGTATAAATGTCACAAGCTGTGACCGATATATGTTTAAACTGAATAAGTTTCACACTTGTATTTCTAAATACACAAATTCATAGTATATGTTGTGCTAGATTCACCCACCGTGTCCCACTTGGCCTGAGCTCGCTCTTCTTCAAATTTAGCAAACTCCCGTCTGTCGTGAATGGTAACCAGCAGTTTCCAGATCAGCAGAGCAGCCAGGCCGAGGAACAAGACGGCTCCAGCCACTGAGAGAAGGACCACCAAAATGTCTGGACCCTTGGGACAGTCTGGATGGAGGTTGGAAGAGATAAAGGTATGAGTGGAGTCGAAGGCACTGGAGATAAGCCAAAAGAAGTGAAAGTTCATAACTTTGTTTCCTCTCTGTGTCTTCCTCCTTGCAACTCATTCATCTGCTTAAAGCGTTACGACCCTTCAATGTGGGGTTTTGTGTGAAGGTTATAAACAATATCTTACCTGCTTTAGATATCTGAAAGCCTCAGTTAGAAACAGTTAGATTTTTATGTATGTTTGAAAGCAAAATTAGCAGCAGCTGGTGGTAGCATGGGCAGCACGGTGGCACAACTGGTAGAGCTGCTGCCTCTCAGTGAGCAGGTCCCTGGTTCAAATCCCGATCCAGAGGCCTTTCTGGGTGGAGTTTGTATGTTCTCTCCGTGCATGCGTGGGTTTTCTCCGGGTACTCCAATTTCCTCCCACAGACCAAAAACATGCATGTTAGGCTGATTGGTAACTCTAAATTGTCCCTAGGTGTGAGTGAGAGAGTGAATGGTTGTTTGTCTCTATGTGTTCCTGTGATGGACCTGCGACCCGTCCTGGGTGTACCCCGCCCCTCGCACAGTGATTGCTGGACATGGACACCGGCGACCCCCATGACACAAAATGAAAGAAGCGGGTAAAAAATAATGGGTGGATGGTTATAACTCCTTCATTTCTCAACATATCTTAGTCTAAAATTCTGCCATGAAAAGTGCTCGGTGATATGCATTTTTTCAAGGGATTCTAGGGTTAGGAGTTTGTGCCACTGAAACAAACAGTAATACCTGCAGATGAATCTCTTGATGCCTTGTAGCATGAATTACAGTTACTTTCTGCAGGTTATGTGGTCTATTTACGATATAAAATAGTTTAGGTTGTTCAAAATTCTTATCTCACTGATCTGCTGCAGCCATATGTTTCACAGCACTCTCTGAAGACAGTAGATCAGATGCTTCTATTGGGTCCAGGAAGCTGTTTTAAGCTCAGAGGTGAAAGGGCTTTCTCTGTTGCAGGTCCAAGATTGTGGAATGACTTATCACTGCATGTCAGACAGGCTCCCTCTCTCACTGTTTTAAAGTCTCACTTAAAAACTCACTTTTATTCCCTGGCTTTTGACACTGTGGTTTGTTTTAAACCTGTCTATTCTACAATGTTGCCATTTAATTATTATCTTCCATTTGGATCTATGTATTTTTTGCTGTTTGCTTTGCCTGTTTGTTTTGTTGTGCAGCTCTTTGGATGGCCTTGTTGCTGTTTTAAGTACTTTATGAATAAAGTGGTATGGTATGATATGGTATGTATGGTATGGTATGGTATGGTATGTATGGTATGGTATGGTATGGTATGGTATGGTATGGTAAAATTTATGAACATTTTGTTATACTCTCAAAATTAGAGGAAGGGCTACAGTGGAAAACCCCAACATCGTAGAGCTAGCTACAGCTTTCCAATAACTCATTGTGGTCTGGAAAAATCAAATAAGAATCAGATTTGTCAAGTTTCAAAACTGACCCACATCAACATAAAAACATTCCTGTGGAAGTACTCGTGACTTGTTGCACTGACCTCTGTCATTTTCCCCATGATTAGTTGTTCTGGAAACTGGCTCTAAAAGTATCCACCCAAAATTTTCCCAGGTCTTCAAGTGGGGAAGCAAAAAGAGGCAAATGATACTGGATGATTTTTGTTTCATGCTAACACCCTAGTCAAATAATTCCTTGCATGTTTCAAAAAAAGCAACAAAAAAAAAAAATACAGGTAAATACTTTGTAACTCAACATTGACATTAGCTCACTGATTTGTTTAGGTCTCTAGTCCCAGGCGTAAATGGATGTTTTCCAAACTGACGCTGCGTCGCAAGATTTAAGGACATGCAGTGAGGCAGACAGAAGCAAGAATATTCCCAAAATCTTATTATCACCTCTTGATTCCGCTAAGTTTTGTTTATGTCGGATGATATATTATTTATGTGTTTGGGTTTGTCTGTAGCATCATTAATGTTTTAAAGTGAATTAGTTGCATAATCTGTAGGGCAAAACAGAACAAATAACTATCTTACAAGCTTTTCATTGGATGTTACAGATTTTCTTTAAGAGCACAAAATTCAGCTTTTAATATAATAATTAATATCGGGAGATTTCACAAAATACGTTATGGAATGTGTTGAAGAAGACTATCAGCTACTACCACACCAAATATTAGCTGTCCATTTCTGTGTTGGCTCGTGTGAATTAGCTCCGTTGGCCATTAATTGAGACGACAAAAGTTAATCAGTTGTACATGAACATCCAATTAATAATGTCTGAATTTCATTGAAATCTTTCCCATAGTTTGTTTAATGAGATATTTTGCTAACGCTACACAGATGGACACACACGCAGCTGTGAGCAACAATTTTATGGCTTCTCGCAGATGATAATAAATTTCTTTAAAGAGAAACAAATAAGAAAGGAGCTGAAATATTTTACAATGTTCTGAACCTGACCTAGAGAACAAAAGTGAAAATAGTTCATAAATAATTTACTACAAGTAGTGGTGGTAACAGCTAACCAGAAAGTTAGCTCCGCTAATCCATATTTTGCTAACCAAAAAAATTTGCTTTGCTAACGCTAAACCGCCAACCGCTCAGACCACTGTCAGTCAGTCTGCATCACGCCTTCATCGCCTTCCAGTTGAAGCTGCGTTGACCAATCACGTCTTGTCACGTGTACACGTAAGCCAATAGCGTGCCTAACAGGACTCTTTAAGACACGCTCACAACAAACAGGAAGAAGTTTGTGAATTTTGTTAGCGGACTTAAAGTTGGCAAAACTTTATTTAGCAGAAGCTAATCCAGCTAACAGTTTCCAAATTTAGTGATAAATACTAATCTGCTTATCCAAAAATTGGTTCCTATTAGCTGTTAGTGGATTAGTGAAACTGCGCCCACCACTGGCTAAAAGTGATCGTTTTCACATGGCATTCAGTTCTTTGCAAGTATTATTGGTGGAGAAATTACTCAAACACCGTACTTAAGTAAAAGTACAAATAAACAGACAAAAATGTACTCTAGTAAAAGTAGAAGTAACACATTCATGTTTTTACTTAAGTAAAAGTAAATAAGTACTTGCTTTTAAAAATGTTAAAGTATCAAAAGTACTTGCTGAATGTATTACCTAATGCAATAGTCTACAATATTATAAAGTGTGCCTACTGTATGTATATTTTCTGTAATACATTAATAGTGTTGAGACATTTTAATGAACAATGCTGCAGGTAATACATGTTTTTATTGTGTTTACTCTGTGACACAGTTCACACCTGGACTTGTGATTCTGTGCGTCAGAATTTCAGGATGACCTGCAGAGTTAAATACCATTGATCAAAATAAGAAAGAGGAATGATTATACCTTTAAAAGTTTTTATTTAACACAAAGTAAAACCAATGTGTCATTTTAACTGCAGTTAACACATTTAAGTAAAAGTTGTCTGCCTGAACAAAAGGAGCATTAGACACAACTAACAAAGGAATAGGTAGGCTCTGATCATTTCAACTCCAGTTTGTCATCAACTCTAGTTAAAATACTGTCTAAACCTTGTAATGGGTCAATAGTGAATAATATTTTGACTTCCTGACACCATTTTCAAAACTTGGACCCGAGTGTCGAGTCATTTGGAGACATCTCTTGTCTCCTAACATCCATGAACTGACACATTTTAATATTGCATCAAAAATTTCTTGTTCAAGTTCAGAAGAAGTCGGTTTTCAAAGTTTTTTTGAGTCCAGTCTGGCTCTTTTGGGAGAGAGAATCTGTCCTGCTGTACTGAACAGTCTTTCAATAGTCTTTCAATAGTTTTTCAATAATCTTTCAATAAGACCTTTGGTGGCACGTATCTTCTGGCTGACTCTCCTTGGTGGAATCATTCTGGGTGTGTTAGCGATGCTGCAGATGCGTCCATCTCAATGACGTATATACTAGAATATACGTCATTGGCCCAGCTCTTTTCGAAGGCGGGTCTAACTTTACCTGCCCACTTTGTAGCGATTCAATGGACCAATTCCCCTCTCTAGTCATTGGTTACGTTCAAATTAACGAACAAATTTTAAAATTGCAACGTGAATGTAACTTGTAACAACACATAGAAATGTAGTGTAGCAGAAAGTACATATACTTAATGTAAAATGTGGTGGAGTAAAAGTCGAAAGTACCCACGTTTAACTCTACTTAAGTAAAGTACAGGTAGATGAAAAATGTACTTTATTACAGTAACAAATTACTTGTACTTAGTTACATCCCACCACTGTTAAGTATTTAAACTTTAAATTAGAGTTTTATCAATTAAATAAGATTTTTCCATTTTATAAACAGCGTTAAAGCTGTATTTTCATCCAGCTGTGAGCTTTTAATTATATTTGCCATCTGCTCTGTCTGTGTGTGTTGTTTGTCACACTGTGCAGTTTAATACACCTACCCACTCAGTGTGTAGCTTCAAGCAAATTCAGTTTAAATGTAGATATCTCCGGTTAGTCGTAACCTAAAAAGACAAACGGCGTGAACTTTTACAGCCGACATCAAAGCCTCTTCCTCTCGCCACCATTTTTACTCGGCTTCGTTTCCGACTCTTCAGCCAATCCTCCTCTTTGATCCTGCACCCCATGCTATAGTTGTGCTTTAGAATTATTTTTGCGGCCTAATTCATTAATCCAGTCAATAAATTTTGCCTTCTTTTGCTTAACTTGGTTTTCTCTTTGTTCTTATCTTGATATTTTTTTCTTGACTGTGTGGAGTCAGCAGGTTCCAAGAGGAGCAGGGCTGCTGTTTACGGCCCTCTATCACACGGCAGGGTGCGCCTGTGATCAAGAAAAATTATTCTCTGTGTCTAAATTAAACGCACACGCTCAGTAAAGGTGTCGTCCAAAGGATAGACTTTCTCAGCGGGTAATGATGGTCATTAAAGGCTGTTTTACTGCACGCTCTCTTTGTTTGGCTCCTTAATGAGCAGATGAAAAGCCGACAGCTGGAGAGAGGGTGAAGAAAAATACAAAGCAAGAAAATCTGCTGAAACTTAACACTGGACGGTACATAAGAAGCTGGAGAAATACCCAGGGTTGAAATATGAAATAGAGGAGTTGTAGAAGGTTAAAGCTTCATTACTTTCATTTGTGTTGCCTAAAGAGTGCATTATAATCACACACAGTCCCAGTTAAGAAACATGGCGATGGATTCAGTTTTTGTATGTGTAGAATGCAAGGTGTGTGTTAGGTGTGTGTGTTGTTCTCACCTGGCTCTTTGACAACAAACAGGATGGATTTGCCACTGACATCCTCATAGTACTGGAAATACTCCACACAGTCGTTTTCATCTTTGTAGGAGCAGTTCACAGCGTTCGTGTAATGGAGCTCTGTGCGAAAAATATTAAGAAGTAATATTTTTATTATAACATATTCATCCCTAGTGTTTTCTTTAGCATCAGTATGTTTCCTCACTGACTATTCTGTTCCTCAGTCCTGCCCCTCCCACTTACACCTGTTCCTTGTATTAATAAATCTCAGCTGTTATCACTCGCCTCATCAGCCCCTGCCTATTTAATTCTCTTAGTCCTCACTGTTCGTCAGTCAGTCATTGTGGTTAGATGCCCTGTCTGGTTCTCCTCCGTGGTCCTCATGGTTTTTTCTCTTGCCTTGGATTTTGCAGCTATGCCAGCCTTTTGATTCATTTTTATTGAATCTTTATTCTTTTTATCGAGTTTTCATGCCAGTCTGCATCTGTAAGTCCTACCACAGCTGCTGCTGCTTCAACTACAACTACAACTACTATTACAACTACTACTACTACTACTAAAACTACTACTACTACTACTACTACTACTACTACTATGCTGCAACAAAGTGCTGCACATATAAAATCAAGAACATTTAAACACATAAAAGAATAAAACGGTTAAAACAGTGATGCTAAACAACTAAACCGTGATGATTAAATAAACAGACAACTTTTCAAATCCTTTAAAAAAGTCTGCTCCATGCAGTTTACTTTAGTACACATTTTTAGATTTTAGCTAATGTTTTTCTAATTTAAGGTTTTAACTTGATTGCTAAAGTGGCTTTTAGCTAATGTTTGGCTAATTTTATTTTCAGTTTTACTAGTTTGAAGTTTCAATAGTTTACTTAATTCACTTTTAGCATTTATTGTACTATTCAGCTTTTCTTTTTACTCAGTTTAGCTTCTGTTGCTTTTTTTGTTGTTGCTAATTTTAGCTTTTAGCTGCTGTTGGCTAATTTTGTTTTCCGGCAAATGTTTAGCTAATTTTTACTTTTAGCTATCGTGTTGCCAGTTTTAGATTTCAGCAACTGTTTTGCTAATTTTAGCTTTGTGCTATTGTTATTTTAGTATTTAGCTTTTTTTACGCAAACTTTACCTTTAGCTTCTGTTTTGTTTATATTAGATTTTAGTTGCTGTTTTGCTAATTTTGTTGCTGGTTTGTTTCGATTGCTTTAACTTTAACAATTCAGTTTCAGCTTCTTATAAGGCGACGGTATCTCTATTTTCACAGTGTGAGTACTAGTTAACTGCAACTATCGGTAGTTAACTCACTAATCCAAGTAGCCACTTTAAACTACTAAAAGCAGCTGCTAACACTTAAGGACGTGTTTTTATTTTTTCTTACCTAGTTCATCCACAAGCACAATCTCATCCTTGCAAATCCGACTGCAGGTGTTGTCCTCGTACAGCTTGCCTCTCTTGAAGTGTTTACACTCCACACACTCCCTGCCAGAACAAACAAACAAACAAACATAAACACAATCAGTTCAAATGGGACTTTGGTCCACTGGAAATCAAACTCCACATCGCTGTGGGTCTATCTGCATACTCACTTCTTCATGGTGCAGGCATCTGGACAGGTGGGGCACTTGTCACACGTGGCCCCATAGGCCCCCGGCTGTGTGCACTCACAAACCCCGCAGACACATTGGCCCCTCCCGCTGCACAGCAGACCCAAGTTGGACATGCAGGTATCGGTGCGTCTGGAGCAGTTACAGTTCTCCCCCTGCCAGTCAGGGGCACACTGGCAGAAACCACAGTCACAAACGCCATGACCTGAGCAGGAAAGGAAGGCAGCATGAGCTTCACCTTACAAACTCTTCTACGGAGGTATAGCTTCAGTGTCTCCATCCATGTGTACTCAAGGTTATCAACAATTAACATCTTGCCTGTTGTATGTAGATTGTTATTTTAATTACATCATTTTTAAGAAACAGCAAACCTGCTTGGCAAGCTAAAGGCTAATTTGAGCTGGGCCAAGAAAAAAAAAAAAGAGCATTGCTGCCTTCTTAACAAAACAACTAGGCCTGTCACGATAACAAATTTTGCTGGGCGATTAATTGTCTCAGAAATTATTGCGATAAGCGATAATATTGTTTGAAATTTGTCAAAAATTAGTAATTATTGTTAAATTTAAGAAGAAATGTTTGTTAATTTGTTTTGTATGTAGTACCTTTTTTCAACCACTGGATGGCAGTATAAGACTGTTTGAATTGAAGGATGGATAGTGAGGGAGCAAACAGTACGTCTATTTAAGAAAAATGGGTAGGAGGCCCCTTGACGTGACCTGGGCTGTCTCTCGTTCCTGTTTATCAGTTCTCAAAATGGCAAATGCTCAGTGTGATTTGAGCTCTTTAGCATAGCATTTGTCACACAAAGCTTTTAATTTAAAAAAATCAATGAACAAGTTCTCAGCTTCTTTTTGCAGAGAAAAACAACTTTTTACATGAAAGCACAGGTTTCAACCATAAATTCTGGAGCTTTGACAAGACGGAGGTTTTTTCCCAAGGCTGGCCTGTTAGCTTAGCTCGTAGCTTAGCTTCTCAGCTTAGCTGCTTTTAACGATCAAAAAACGCGATTTTGGATGGTTAAAACAGATTTTATAAAAAGAAGAGAAAGGGAGGGGTCAGTTAAGAGTTGAGCAGTGTCTTCAGTAGAAAGAGAGAGACTCGAAGAAACGATAAAGCCGATAAACGAAAACGAGGTCGATAATTTTCAATTATCATGCGATTAATTGATTTATTGTTTATCAAGACAGGCCTAAAAACTACAATTTAAAAAGTTTGTTCATGCAAACATTGTTTTATAACACTTTGCATCACTGTCAGTTTTGTTTTGCATAATTTACAAACAATTATGTGGGGGGTTTTTGCAAGTGCAAAAAGTGGCGACAGCAACTAGCTGTATCACTTTTGGTTGATTATTTTTATTTATTTGTAATTGATGCCTAAAACAAGACAGACATGAAAACAATCAAGTTAGCCAAAGGCTAATGGGGGAGTCCCTTGTTGGCATCTGGGGGTGTAAAATAAACATGAATAAAAAAGAAAATCCAAGTTGCATAAAAACAGTATAGATAGATACATACAGTAAAACATCTCAAAACATAATAGCCACAAAACTGACACAGTCTGGGGAATTTCCAGCAGTAAATTACAATATTTCTGCAAGAATAACCATGTAATGTGAAACTATCATTAAAGTAAAGGTTAAAAAAATAACAGCATTAACCGCTTTGAAATTTTAGAGCCTGGATTTGTTTTAAAACAGCAACAGTCTATTATGGCCTTGGCCCCCCTTGGACTAACCATTTATTAGCTCATCATTTTTGGTAAAAATTAAACTACTTTTCCAAACTGAGGCTATCTACAACAGGTAAGATATTAATTGTCTACATAACCTTCTGACAGAATTCCACTGCAAAGATGCAAACTACCTCTTTAAGTGGAGCTGAATTACTTAAACCTGCCTTTTTCTTGTAGTTTGGTGAGATTCTTCTATAGTTTCTCATGCTCTCTACCTTTGGACACTTACATATTCACTATGGAAAGACATTTTAAAACCATCTAAAGTCTAAATTTCTTGACTTGAAAATGCTAAGTCAAACTGATGGACATTAAAACCTATTCTATTGTGTAGCTATTGTGTCTGCAGCATTTTTTTTTATGTTTATCTGCATGATTCAGCACATATGTGGGTAAATATGCAAAAATTATCGGCTTGTTGTTAATCCCTGTATCCTTGCATGCATCTGAGCACCAGTACAAAAAACACTGCGGTCTACTGCTGCAGCAAAACAATGGCCAGATAAACAATGACACGGGAAGCTGTTTAGCACAGTCATGACTGAAGAGATTTTCTGTGAACAAATTTGTCATTACCATGTGACCACAGCACCGCTAGCTTTTAATTAAAGCGTTATGTGGAGGAGAGAAGAATGGTCCCGACACCGAGTTTGGTATTTGTGGACAAACGTTAAACCTTGTTCTGCAGAGACAAACTCCCAATGCTCTCCCCCATGGCCCTTCTCTGACCAAACATGGAGTTATTTTTAGCCTCATTACGCCCCACTCGCCAATGAGTAAGCAGAGAGGCATTTTCATGTTACTCCACGGACTTTGGGGAGTAAAGTGAAAACATTTCTGTGCGAGTGTACTGAAGGAGTGATAAATGAGACCTGATGATGTAATGACGCATTAAGCTGAAGCTTGTACCAAAGCTTTGCATTAAACATTTTTTTCTTTTGTTCTCTGTCTTTACATCTCCTGCTTTAATCCTTACTACAGAACTTTGGCATTCAGGAAAATCCTTTGTTCATATTCATATTGTTTCATTACATTCATATGGATGGAGTCTGGAGCTGATTAGTTTAATCAAGAAAGTTTGGGGGAAACAGGGGAAGCAGCATTCTAAAGCACACGACTATTATAAGTTTAAAATGTCCCCTAGCTTCAGAACAAATTAAGAGAATCAGAATCAACTTTACTGTCATTGCACAGTTAAGCACAGCGAAAATACATTTCAGTGCAGCCATCCAACAAGGGTAGACAGAAGTGCACGGAGGCTGCAGCTTCGTTGTGAAGCACTGTCCTTATAGCTTAGATAAGTAAAGGGAAGAAAAACATGAGGAAAGAAGGTATTAACAAAAGATCTTTCACACTGTGCCCTTGACACACAGGGCACAGTGTAAGGTAGCAAAAAACTACCTCAGCACAAAAATAAGCAACATAGACATAAAACATTTTCTGAGCCAAAGGCGGTGAGATTGTCCGTGAACACTGCCAGAAAGTTCCATAGTCCTGATAAAGATGGCACAGTGTCTATCAGCCGGCTCAGCTCTGACAAGGGTCCACAGATGTTCTCGGGGGGGGGGGGGCAGAGCTTTATTATTTAAATATCTTCCAGGAGCAATCTGAGATAAGTTGGCCTATCCAAGGCCAAGTGGGGAAGAAGTCAGTTTCAGATAAACAACTATCGTTTTGGGCAGGCCGACTCTACTGATTTCATGTCTGCCTTCGTAGTTTCTGCTGGTACACCCAATGGTGAATCCAAAACAGCTAGATTTGTGGTCATTCTGTCGGTTCATGCTTATAGCCTTCTACAAGGTTGATTCTTTCATGCCAGCAAGTTCTAGGAGCCGCAAGTGGCCTGCTATTCTCAGAAATTGCGTCCAGCTTACGGTTTAGCTTGCAGAGCATCTGAGTCTGAGCACTCGAAGCACGGTGCAATCCTTCACATAAGGCAGATGGCCTCACCATTGCCAAAACTGCTGCCGACATCTTCCTAATTTGTCGATATCCCAGGTACCCGCCGATTCCAAAAAGCAGAAACCCTGTTATCATGAAACCAATTATGCATGCGTCTTCTACGTCCTCAACGGACAATTCAGACAGGCACGTCATTTTCCATTCACCCCAGGAATCCATGATATCTCTGGCTGCGTGTGTCCCTTCAGGGCATGAAGGTTCTCCTTCACCCTGTCTTTTTGTGGAGAACATTTTATCAGGTGCGTTAAGAGACCAGCTGTCCAGATCCATAATTTACGGTTCGGAAGATGTGTAAAGAGAGGCTCTGCGACTGATTCACAGGACAAGCGCAAAAGCAGGAGGTAGGCAGGCGAGTGAAAATAAAGTGTCCGTCTTCATCAAGAGCAAGTCAGAGAAATAATAATAATAATATTGCTCTATAAGTATGTTAAAGAAGAAAACTGGACTTTGTTTTAATTGGGGACTACCATTAGAAAAGTTTAAAATGACACCAAAGCTAAAACAAAAAATGGCTATAATTCGGTCATTTTTAGAAATATTGAGCGCAAATCTGTAGTGGTAGTAGCCAAGAGCAATCCCCACACATAACCTAGACGCTAATAAAAATTTCAAGATGGCCACCAAAGCTCATACAAAAAAAGCAAGGGCTTAGTCATTTTTAGACAAAGTTAGCTAAATTTGGTGTAGTGGGGTGGCTGTGAGAAATTCCCATAACGCCCCTGTACACGTGTGATCCTCATTCCTTATCATTAACTGTTGGCACCAGACCATTTTTTGTCTGTTAGCAAAATAGCCTATCAATAAATGGAGCAAATCCAATGATGCTTTCAGAAAGAAATCATTGAGTGTTCATCTAAAACTCAGTCATGTTTGGGCTCGTTCTGATTCAAGATGGTTGCCGTAGTAACCGTAAAATAAAAAAAGAAGTTATAACTGTATTATTTGGTGTGGCAGTCGCTTTCATAACCCTTGAATAATACTGTGACAGGTCTTTGTCCCTAACAGCTTCAGTACAAGCTGTTAGGGACAAAGACTGTTAGCAAAATATCTGAAGAATCACTTGATAGATTTTAATGAAATTTGGAAAGTGATCATTGGATGCACATCCAATTAAGTTCTGGACTCATCATGACTCAAGATGAAAAAAATAAATAAATACACCAAGTGGCAAGTGTCAGAGGAATTTATGTAAAGGTTATGGATGTTTATGAGTAACTAATGTTAAATTAATGTTGAAGTGTGTGAATGTGTGAGGTCAGAGATAGCTGGCAGACCGAGGTCTCCAGTGACTGTCTGATAAGCATTATAAAAAACACTTCCTGCCTCACTGTCCAGTGCAGCTTCTCACTGACGAGGCTCTAAGCATGTAACTTTATACATCTGTGAAAAGTCTTATCGTGACCGTCTACCCTTGCATGTAAAGACCAATTAAAAATCTTCTTGTATTCCCAGAGTGGCTTATTTGAGTAAAAACATGATGAAAGGATATTTATGTATGCAACAGCAAGCCCCTTAAAAATTTCTACAGGTGTTTTTTCTAGTTCTAATACCTTTCAATAAAATACCTTTATAATACCTAATTTAATACCTTTCCAAATGTATAATGGAAATTTTGATTATTTTTGTTTTGTTTTGTTTGAGTGCACCATTACCCCAAGTTGACACAAGAAAAATATAACGTTAATATTGTTAAAACTGCTCTTATTAGCAACAGTTTTAATGAAGATTAGAAGTTTTAAAGCAAACACTGAAAACAGATGAAAGTAAAGCCAAGTTTATGGAGTCAGTACGTGACATAAAAAAAAAATCAGTCAAAATGAACTTGTTTCGCTTAATGCAGTTTATAATCCGGTGCACCTTATAGTCCGAAAAATACGGTACTCCAAATGCTCACCTTCATATTAATTGCTCATTTCATATACAGGATGTACAGTACGGTGCAAAGTTTTAGATCACCCTAAATTAATTCCTATGTTGATTCCAAAGAGTAAAACTTTATTTTTATATTTAGAAGCTTTTTTTTTTTTCAGTTCTTCTCCAGGCTTGCTGAAAATCTTTTACAATTTTCATTGAATTTTGGCAGCTTTTTCACACATTTTACATCCGATTCTTGAACCTGGCCGTCACAGCAAATGGTATTGTGAAGCATTTAGCGCTCTATGTGTTGTGAATGACTCTCAGCTACTACCACACCAAATTTGAGCTCAGTGCCTGTTAAATTAACTTGTGCTGGCCATCATGAACGGTGCTGGCTCTAAATGTAGATGTCCACCCAGTGATTATTTTCCAGGGACTTTTGATCAAGGTTTATGGATGTTTTTATTTTTTTTACAACTATGGCTGATCATGTTAACTGCCCATGAACCATGTGTTTGAGTTAGAGTTATTTTCTCTCTCAGAGAACGAGGAGCTGATTTGATCCTGCATGTACAGCTGGGTGGCCGATGTCATCAGTGTCTGCGTCTGAGCCGAGAGCTGATACGTGTATAAAAAACATTTCTTGCACACTGTCCGTGGCAGACTCTCATGGCTGGGCTCCATGCGTGTAGAACTTCTATACATCTGTGTAACCTGTTGAGAAAGTCTGCCCTTGCAAGTAAAACCTAGTTGTGTCCTCGAGCGTGGCTTCTCTGAGTTCGTAAGTAAGATGAACAGAGGATACTTTTATCCAACATTTACTTCCTAAAAGCATCACCACAGGTGATATTTGAGCAATAACAAGCAGGTGACAACAGAATGGATACGTGACTAAAACATTTCACAGTCATCCTGTTATTTTCCTCAAGTGAGTCAAGAAAACTAAAGTTGTTAATTCCTAACAAACCCAAACTCGTTCCCAGAATTTAAAGTTTAGAGCAGCAGCACCAAAACGGGGTCTCTGCCATCGACTCCGCTGTAATACAAAGAGTTTGGCTCAGCTAACACAAAACATAGAAGCTGAGTGTGACGCTCACACAGCGGCACGTGTTTATTGTGAAAGGAGCCCATGTTCTGTGCAGATGGGAGAGTTGTTACTGTGCGTAATTCTTCCCAGATGGGGTGGGTGGCAAGTCAGCATGGTTTAAAGGACCGCCAGCCTCAACGCTACTGTAAACACATCCAATGAAACTCCACCGTTGTTACACTCAGTGTGCACTACAGTCAGCAGGGCATTTATTCTCTTTCACCACTCATTTGTACAAATATAACTACGTAGGTCAGTGATATAAACTAAAGACAGTAATCTATAATACAGTTCAGAAGCTGGAACTTGTCCAGTGAGTCTGATATTAGGCTAACATGATTCATGGATCTTTTATCTTAAGTGGGTTTTATTTCTGTCAAATACTGTTTTTACAGTAGTTTAAGCGTTTAGATGATACTAGGTTGAAATTAAAGGTCTTGAATAATACATATCTCAGATCTCTTTTCATTCCAGAGTGTTAAAGATAAGCTTATGTTGAAATATGACAGATCTGTTTTGGTCACGACGTGAGATATTGTAAGACATCTTGCTCATAGTAGATGTTGAGGATGACTCTCGGCCACTGCAACACAACATTTTCGCTCAATATCTGTAAAATTGGCAAAGTTGTGTATAATTTTGTGTTTACTAGGGTCAGTTGGCTGCGGTGGCCATCTTGATATGGGTTGACTCCAATTGATGACTTTATTTCTTTAAATAAATGTTTATTAATATAATCAAGCCAGAGTTTCTGACTCTGACTATCTTATGATGAGAAATTACAAAGTTGTTAGCTGGTCAAACGTAATCACTCTCAGCTACTACCACACCTAATTTTACCTCATTATCTATATAAGTGACTAAATTATAACTGTTTTTGTGCAGGTTAATGCTGATTAACGGTGTTGGCCAGCCTAAATTGAATTAGCTGAAAACATTATTCGGTTGTAGATGTGCATCTAACAATGAATTTATAAACGTTTTCTGAAAATCCATCTAATGGTTCATGAGATATTTTGTTAACAGACAAATATGACTGACCAACAGTTAATGACAATGTTTTAAGCAGAGGTCTTGCATAATGAGTAGAACTTGTAGTATGTGTTGTGAATGACTCTTGGCTACAACTAGACCAAATTTTATCACAATAGTTGCACAACTAATTGAATCATAGACATTTTTGTGTTTTCCAAGGTCAGTTGGCTGCGGTGGCAATCTTTTATTGGGTTGACTTAAAAAGTTTTTCAATTCTGAATGTATATCCAATTACTGTTTTTTGAACGTTTAATTAAAATCTACCCCAATGGTTCATGAGATATTTTGCAAACAGACAGACAGAGTCAACTCCAGCAGCGTAGGCTCCTATAGTTGAACTGGAAAGTTCAAGAAACCTGAAGCTTCAGCTCCTGAAGCCTTACCTGAGCACAGCTCTCCTTTGTAGCGCAGGCAGTTGAAGTCATCGCACTCACACAGCTTCCCCCAGACTTTCCCGAAGTCGCTGCTGTGGCACACACACTGTCCGCACACACAGTCGCCACGGCCGCTGCAGATGGCGGATTGAGGTCCCCCAGGTCCTGCGGGTCCACTGCAGCGGTCCTGCTCCGTGGGGTTATAGTCGCCCTCTGCACACTCGCAGTACGGGCCCAGCCGGCCCGGATGGCACAGACAGATGCCACACTCGAAGGTGCCGTTGCCGTGGCTGCATTTCGGGCTGTTGGGCTGGGTTTTGGCCTGGCACTTGCAGTCACACTCAAAGGTGACGGTAATCGAGAGGGAGTCCTTGAAGCCCACTGGTTTGATGATGAAGGTCTTTTTCTTTTGTTTGGGGCAACCGCGAGCACGCGCCTCCACACTGAACGAGACCTGAAGGAGAGGAATCAGGATGAGAGGAGCTTTTAGTGTCTGCAGAAAGATTTACATTTATTTAATAGCTGCTCATTTTTCATCATCATCATCAGAGGAAGCATTTCCCCAAAACGTAAAGAATGTCTGTAATTTACAGCTGCACAAAGTTAAAGAGATTGTTCAGTCAGCGTTGCCCCCATATCTGGTAAATGTCCAAAAGTGGGCAGTTACCACATCTGGAGAGAGATCCAAATATGGAAAAAACAAGAGGAGTCGAGGCAGAGAGGAAGAAATGTGTGCAGGCCAGAAAATCTCCTCTAGTCTGAAGAAAAAGCAAAAGAGAGACTCAAAGAGAGTGAAATGTTAAAGGGAGCAAAAATAAGTCAAACATCTGAAAAAGGACAAAAAATCTCATCTATTAGGGACAAAGCCGACAAGAATGTTGGTCTAAATCTTCCACCATCAGCTGTTTGACACATGGAAACAGGAAAAGCAGCAAAAAGGGAAATGGAACAATAAAGCAGACATGTTTTCCAACAATGCAAAAGAAAAAGTCGGACAAAACTTAACTGACATATTTATTACAGATATTTTCAGCTACAAAGATTACAGTTATTTTCAAGTTGGTAAAAAGTAGATAAAACTCAATAATTTTTTTTTAAATTTTACTTTTCAAGACTCGTCCAAGAAATATGAAATTCTCTAAAACCACAAGGAAGCATCCTCCTAAGATGCAAACACCTTCCCCCTCATCACTAAAACACTGAAAGATTAAGTTTTTTTATTTTATTTTAATTTTTTTTACAAGATTAGTGTTTTTATCTGGACATGAGTCAAATCTGAGTAAAACCTGAGAAAAGAATTTTAAATAACCAAGACAAAAGTTGTTTGCTACACTTATTTCTGTGATTTTTCTCGCCTGCTTACGGTAAACTAGCCTTGTGTCTGTGGCTCCAGGTCTCGCAGGACTCACCGTGTCTCCTACTTTGAGGCCGGAGCAGGACTTGAGGCCTGGGATGAGCTCTCCGTTCAGGCAGGTGGCATTAAAGGACAAAGACAGCTCCTCTGGGACACCTAGAAGCTCCAGCTCCACCTTGGATCTAATTTTCTAAACATACAAACATCACAACACCACTTCAAAAACAGGTTATTCTTCTAATCACGACTCCTTAAGGTATTCTTGACAGATCTAAGTTCATACATATGAAACTGTGTGTCTTTGGATCGTGTTTGTTACGCACAAGTCACAAGTTTGTAACTATTTTATTTTGATTGGTTACAGTAGGTGGAACGGTTGCTCAGAGGTAAATCTGCCGCCTCTCAGCAAGGAGGTCGACGGATCAAATCCTGGCCGGGACCTTTCAGGGTGCAGTTTGCATGTTCTTTCCGTGCACGCGTGGGTTTTCTCCTAGTGCTCCAGTTTCCTCCCACAAACCAAAAACATGCATGTTAGGCTGATTGGTAACTCTGAATTGTCCCTAGGTGTGAGTGAGAGAGTGAATGGTTGTTTGTCTCATTTGTCTCTATGTGTCCCTGTGATGGAATGGAGACCTGTCCAGGGTGTCCTCCGCCTCTCGCACACTGACTGCTGAATATGGACACTAGTGACCCCCCACAACCCGAAAAGGAAGAAGCAGCTTAAGATGATGGATGGATGGATGGATGGATGAATTATAGCACCAATGTTGTGAAACAGCTAGTACAAAGTATACAGAAGTAGTTTGTTTGCTACAAACGTAGAGAAATACATTTAAAAAAAAAAGGAGGAAACAATAGTAAATCAGTGTTCACACAAAGAGCTGACACACAAACATTTGGTTAATTTTACACTCGGTGGTATTTCTGCAGAGCTTCTGTCTCAGTTCTCCTGACTCAGAAGTTCTGAGTGTGTCAACAAGCATGTGTCATCTCCTAAAACACTGTCTCGCCAAGTGCGTGTGTGCGTGTGTGTGTGTGTGTGTGTGTGTGTGTGTGTGTGTGTGTGTGTGTGTGTGTGTGTGTGTGTGTGTGTGTGTGTGGAGGTGTTGTAGCACTCACAGCGTAGGCCTTCAGTATTAGCTGAATAACATTTCCGGAATCGTTGGACAGTGTTCCCACTGTGGTGCCAGGAATCAGTTCACTGTAGTTCTGCAGGAAACAAAACAAAAAGAAAAGAATAAAACTCAACAGAATCGATAAAATCCTAATTATTTAATGTATTTAAATCAATGATTATTAATATAACCATGACAGAGTTTCAGACGATCATCTGTTAATTGGTCAAACGCTAAAAATGTTGTTTTGTGTGAGATCATGCAGCGTCACAAAATGTTGCACTCAAGAGTATTTGTTGTGTATCACTCCCAGCTACTACCACAACAAATTTAAGCTGTTTCTGTATAATTCACTGGGTTATATGGGTTTTTGTGCTGGCTAATGCTGATTAACTGTTTAGGCCATCTTAAATTGGATTGACATCAAAATGTATTAAGTTGTAAATGTACATCAATTTATCATTTATTTTGAGTTTCATTAGAATACAAGGAATAAACTCTCGAGGATTGTTAGGATGTGCAGCAAAACATCTGACATAGTCCTACACAACCTCACTGACCTACACAAGTCGAGGTCAGCGAACAAGACCAGGCTGATTCTGGCAGATCCTGATCACCCACTCCATGGTGAGTTCAGGTTGCTTCCATCTATACGCAGGTATCTACAGCCCAGATGTAGAACAGACAGACTGAAAAACTCATTCATCCCTGGAGTGATCAGGCTCCTCATTGAACACTGATGACTTCCGTATTGTTATTTTATTGTCTTAATGTCTTATGTAGTATGGATGTTTTACATCTCTACTGACTGTGAAACTAATTGCCCCTCGGGGATAATAAAGATACTTGAACTTGAATCCATCCAGTGGTTCATGAGATATTTTGCTTACAGACAGAGTTAATACTTCATGACAAAGTTTTAATGACATTTTAAAGATTTGTTCAACTTGCACTGAACTAAATGGCTCTATGTAAATTTTGCACCATAAAAATCACATTTATTTGCCATTTCAGCATTTTTTTTTAAGTCTTTGTCATTGCATCATCCAACAGACGTCTGTGTAGCAGCAACATTTGATGCACTCCACCACCTAAAAGATTTTTAATGATCCTGAAAACAGGTGCCGGTTTGGTACAAGGCCTGTTTTATTCAGACATCTGTGGAAGGAAAGCTTAACACAACCTTGTCATATTTAGTGAAGCACTGCTTCACTTAGCGATGGAGAACCTCATATTATTTGTAAATTTACATTGAGACCAACAGCAACTCTGATCATGATTATTTGTATAACAAAAAAGGTTGAATCATGTCATCTGGACTTCGTTTTTTTGTTAAAAAGAAACGTTTCGCCCCTCATCCAAGAGGCTTCGT